TGTTTGGAACAAACTTGGCCAGATACTGAAGCAGGCCTAAGAACCTCATTAGTGCAGCTTTATCCGCTGGCTCTGGCATGTTCTGTATCGCTCTGACTTTCTCTTTGTCTGGCTTCAACCTATCTGCAGTCAGAATGTGTCCAACATAGCTGACTTCGGTCATCCTGATCTTGCATTTGTCTTTGTTCAACTTTAGATTAATGTTTCTAATTCTATCTAGCAGTTGTCTTAGTCTCTTGTCATGTTGTTCCATGTCTTCACCCCACACCAGAATGTCCTCCACTATGTTCACGACTCCATCTAAGCCTTCTAGTCTTTGTGCAATGCACTTTTGAAACACTTCTGGAGCTGACACTATGCCAAATGGAAGACTCAAAAACCGGTATCTCCCAAAAGGAGTGTTGAAAGTACATAGTTTGGAGCTCTGTTCATCCAGCTGTACTTGCCAAAACCCATGATTGGCATCAAGCACTGAGAATAGTTTGGCATTTGGCATCTCAGCTACTACCGTCCTTCGGATGAGACGTTAAACCGAGGTCCTGACTCTCTGTGGTCATTAAAAATCCCAGGATGTCTTTCGAAAAGAGTAGAGGTGTGACCTCGGCATCCTGGCCAAATTTGCCCATTGGCCTCTGATCATCATGGCCTCCTAACAATCCCCATATCTACTGATTGGCTTCATCACTCTGTCTCCTCTCCACCAGTAAGCTGGTGTGTGCTGGGCGTTCTGGCGCACTATGGCTGCCGTCGCATCATCCAGGTGGATGCTGCACACTGGTGGTGGATGAGGAGATACCCCCTGACAATGTAAAGCGCTTTGAGTGCCTAGAAAAGCGCTATATAAATGTAATGAATTATTATTATTTGGTGCTGCAGCTAGTCCTGAAGGGGAATATATGTTCACACGGTTCACATGCTGCTTGAACTGAGGCGCTACATCAATCAAAAGTAACCTGCTCTATCTTGTCGGCACGTTGTCAATCTTCTTTGCTCCACTATGTGTTTTTCACTGCATAAGAACATGTTTACACGTGTTACAATTCGGAGTGGAGGGAAAACTTCAGAATAATGTCACAGAGTTCATTCATGAAGTTCATTCAAGAGTTTGCCCAAAAGAGCACAGGTAGGTCGCCTCTGTGTGTAGTTTAATAATTGTAATATACAGCCTGTCATTACCTCTCTGATTATCACAAAACAAACACAAGGTAATCAGGACCGAGATGTTGAGCTTTTTATACAGATTGTTAACGAATGCGTCAAAATAAAAGACTGATTTGATTTAAAGTGCCATATTTGAACCTTTCAGAATCAGAATCAGAATGAGCTTTATTGCCAGGTATGTTTACACATACGAGGAATTTGTTTTAGCGACAGAAGCTCCACAGTGCAACAGAATGACAGTGACAAGACAAGACAAAGATAATAAGAAGAAGAATATACAAATATACAAAATAGACAATGTACAAAAAAAGCAAAAACACAATATATAATATAGATATTATAATATAGATAATATATATATAATATATATATTTCCCATGTTATGCTATGAAAAACAACAACAACTTTGGCTTAGCAACAAGACAAACACTGAAATAATATTACTTTATATTCTTACTGAAGCTCTTTGAGGTAATTTTCACAACTGATAGACGTAAGATGGCGTCCATTGCATTTGTGTGAAAATGAGTTTGAGGGAGTTTGCAGACACATGTAAGTATCACCAATTCAGTTACTCAGATGAGCACGATTGACAAAATTTCCACAGGAATTAGGAAACTGACTTCTGTATGCTGTGATTGACCATTCAGGGTCAAATAGCCTACTGATTGGAATTAGGTAAGAGTCTTAAGCATTGAGGTGAAGACAGTAAATGATCTTAACTTAGATGATTTAGTTTGCAAATAACTATTAGAATTAATATTCCTTTAAATGTTTTACTTCTTTGAATTGTGAAATTGACTGTGAATGTTTAAATTATATTCAATAGGTTCTGCAGAATGAAAGCATTCACCTGAAAGTACCTGTTAGGATCAATGATGAATATTACTGACTAGTGTTAGATACTGTAGCCTATGTGAAAATGCAAAGAAAGAAATAAACATGGGATCTACACTGAAAAAAAAAATATGTTAACCTAAAAATGTGCTTCAACATCAAAACTAATTGATTTTATTAAAGTTAGAAAACTTTAAACATCACTGAATTAACATATACATGATAGTGAATAAAATTAATTTGAGTGTTAGATCAGACAGAAATAGCTCCCTAAGGTAACAAAAGCATGTATCTTAGTACCGTGCACTGTAAATCATCATCACGTGCTTTCAGATGGAGCAGCATTTACTACACAGAGCCGTAGTTCACTGACAAGTTACGCAAAAAAATCGCAGAACGTTTTTATTGTGCGATTCTGAACTCGAAGAAATCGTTTGGGATAATGACAGCTGTTTGCATAGCTTCTCGGTGAACTACGGCTCTGTGTAGTAAATGCTGCTCCATCTGAAAACATGTGAAAATACCACATTTAATAACATATTTTTACTCCAAACTCACTTCATAACGTCAGTCGAGTGTTTGAAATAAATCCTTCTGAGAGATGATGTGGCTTCTTACACAGAATAAGGCATGCAACATATTTCATAGTATTCTAAGCAGTGATAAAGGCATTGCATTATAAATATACTTTATTTTAATGAAAATTATAATAAGAACTTCGATAAACCGTATATTGCCGTAGTCGTGTGTTTATTAGTCACGTTGAATCAATGAAAGCAGTTGAATCTTCTGTTTATCCAGCTACTGCTATAGGGATTTCCTGGGTTTCTTCTGCGTGGCGTATTTGGAGTTTCAGCGCGAGAGCGCCCTCTGGCCTTTGGATGGAGATTTACTTCTGATCACAGAACCATGCTTCACTGAAAGATATGCATGACAATCGCAGCTTCTGTTGAATCGCGATCTCGATTCCATTTTGATTTATCGTGCAGCCCTACTTAGTAGTGTACAATATATTTTACTATATAATTTTTTTTGATCACTTATTTTGGTAATTTGCAGCCACCCTCTTTTGAGGCAGTGCTCCAGCCTGGCCCCCCATTTAGCATATGCTGCATCGGCCACATACAAATTCAGAGGCATGCCCTTTTAAAACGGTAACATTATCAAATCTAACTAAAAAAATTCAAAGCAATTAAATGAATTTTTTATTTTGATTAGTGTCCTGACCATCCTGTTATGTGTATTGTTTAACCAAATAGCTTTTTTGTGTTTTCAGTCCCAATATCCTGCTGGCAATGTATAATTAATTCACAGCAAGAAAATTACAGTTGGGACAAAATCTTTTTAATACGGCTTTGTTGAATTAGTAACATACGGACACTAAAGTTGCACTACAACAAAAATGACAAACACATTTTCTTACTTTCCTCATCACGCCACAGTACTAATTCATGAACATACTTTTTGTTTGTATTAATATTTATCACTCCTAAAAGCCATATATGCTAGACCTTCACTTGGCATCCATTATCGCATGCTCGCTTGAAGTAAAAGACTTTTAACCTGTAAAGAAAAACAAAAAACTGTAGTATTTGTGCTCTTATGTGGTATAAAGAGGGAAAATTCTGTCATCTTTACAAATGAAGATGTTTTGAAGAACGTTGAGGTTTCAACATCATAAACCGCTTTTCCACTGTCAGGTTGAATGGCTATAAGAACAGTAAGGAAGGGTTACAGTTAGACTTCCACTTGAGCCAAACCCTGTTGGTAGAATGAGTGTAGTGACGTCGCCACTCAGGATGGGTCACTTGTTTGTTGTCTGGTTCTGGCTGCTTGTTTCTCTCTGTAGCTGGCCAAGCACACTATTTGAGTGAAGTAAAAGGAAATATCTGATCATCCTCCATAACACGGTCGCTTATCCATCTCGTACCGCATGTAAACACTTGCATTACCAAGGCAATGGCTGACACATTTATATTATGAGCTCTATTGTCAGGCCCACAGTGCAAAATGAAACCATATCTATACCGGCTGGGCCAGATCGGCATGGAATGATATGGTTAAGTAACAAGAATGGTTCGGCCGGACGGTAAAAAAAAAGTGCATACTCACTTGAATGAAAAGTTCAGACAAAATATGAAGAGTTAATTTGCAAAAGCAGATAACTCCATTTTTGTTTATTTTCAGAAGTCATGTTTTTTATTGTGCATTCCAAGTAATATCAATCAAACTGCAGTTGGGTTGTTTTGATTAAATAATAATAACTCAAACAAATACGGGTAACTTCCCAAATTAAAAGTTAATTGAAAGTATGTTTTTGTTATATACATGTTAAAAGTTTGCTTTATAGCAAAAGCAAATAACTCCCAACAGTCGTTTTCTTGGCAAAAGCAGGTAACTCCACATTTCATGCTTCAGAGTTAAACAAAAACACACGTTTAATCATTGTAATCTCCTCAGATGACAATGTAGATGCCTGACAAACGTTGTTGTGATCATAGACTGTATGTATGGTTGTGATTACACGCAATACAGAGCTTTTCCCCTCACCATTGTAACGTGCTGTTTTTGCAAGGTATCGTGAAAAAGTGTAAGCTTTTAATTTTCGTTTACGCCCCAAAGAGGATATCACGGGTTCATAAAGTTCGTCGAAATTATCCATTCTCGATCACTGTAGTCAGTTTTGACGAAACTCCTCTCAGCTAGCGCGTCTTTTCAAAGTGAAAGTAGCCTTGTCACCTGACCTGAATACGGCGCGCTGATTCGCTCAAATGGACTTATCGGCTTTTGCTCACAAACAAGGGCACTTGTCAACTTCTGCAGTAAAACGTGAACTCGCGATGCCTTTGAAAGTAGACAAAACCGGCTTTTTTGGCAAAACGTGTTTAGGATTCAGATCGCGCTATATGTGGAGAATAATGCGCGGCACTCAGTTAATTTTTTTTTTTTTTTAAAGTGGCATTTATCGGTTTTTGCAAATGAACTCTTCATGTCTTGTTTTGTGTTTCACAGGAAAAAAGTCTTAGAGGTTTGAAATGACACGTTATTACATACTGATTACAAAGACATACAATTTTTACTTAATGTGCACTGATAAATTGTGCACAATAAACCTAGAAATGTGTATTAAGAAAGTAAATGGGGTTAATTCTGATTTCATTAACAATTTAAATGTGATCTAAACCCCCTCCCCAGCACCACCCTCATTGTTTCTCTGCATTTCCAGATAATTTTGGGCCGTGGTTCTTCCGTGTTGCTCCTTCAGGTGACGGCGTAGAGCAGGCTTGTGGGCAAAGCTGACGTGGCAGTACGCGCACACATGTGGGCGCTCTCCACTATGCAGGTTCATGTGGTCGCACAGTGTTGACTTCTGAGTGAAGGTCTTGTGGCACAGGGGGCAGCAGTGGAGCTTGGATACTCCACGGTGGACGATCATGTGGCGATTGAGGTTACTGGAGTGGCTAAAGTGCTTCCCACAGCACGGACACACGTACAGCCGGTGTGTTGACAGGGAATGCATGGCTAAATCCTGCGTTGAGGAAAACGCTAATCTGCACTGCTCACACACCACTGGCCCAGCTATGCAGGACGTGGATCCCACCACTGCCACAGACTCGTCAGCAGCTCTGTGTTCATTTGTATGTGTCCCAACCCCCATTCCCTCTTCCCCGCTGGAAGCTTCCACACTAAATTGTGCAGGACCTCCATCAGAGCCAATCTCTTCTCCTTGTCTCTCTCCAGGCCTGTACTCAATGCGGACGGTACCGTCTGCGTGATGCTGATTGGACAGGTAATCAGCCCCAAAGTCTGCTCCAAAATTGCCCATCATCTCATCAGGGGTCGGGAACCGCCAAGCCTCCTGATAGTTACCCAAGAGCTTGCGATCCTTGAAAGTGTACCGCTTCCGGTGTTTAAAGCCTCTTCCTCTGCCTCCCCTGTGCTCTCCGTGCCGTCGTCTCCACATGCGACCCGCCCCTCCGATGCCGTTGCCTTTGGCTCGCCCTTCCATATAGGGCTCCTCTATACCTGCATCCAGCTGCCCGTGGTCATCCAACACAACAACAGCTTCTCGGTCTTCCTCCTCAGCACCAGAGGTCTTCTTCTCTGGGTCTTGATGTTCATCATTGATCTGCACCTGAAAGACGTCACTCTCAGGCCCGTCCTCTCCCTCGAAATGACCAGATGCATCTGATCCTCGGACCTGTTATGGTGAAAACATAAATTAGTAAACCACAACCAAGCAAACTACCAAAATAAGTGCTGATATGACCCTCTTTGATTTAGGACTGCCAGCAATACGCAGTAATATAGCAACCATGTTTGATTTTGCTGGCAAATGTCACATTCATTTTAGTGCAGTTTGCATTTAGCTATTAAATTTCCAGAAGATAATTTTACAAATTTTCAGACCCTTCTCCCTTGTATCAAAACCTGCAATTATGCTAGCAAAGTGAAATATTTTAATGGTGGCCTTTTATAAACTTCAGTTGCACAAACAGTTAGCTTGAAAGTTTGAACGCTAATAATCATTAATGTTACATCTTTTGGCACTGTTAGCATATGCGGCAAATCCAACAGATATTTACATGGTGTATGGTCAAATCGCTGTCATCTTTGTGAGGGATGTTGGAGAGTTCGGCATCGGCAGCCTGGAGCTCCTTTCCTGAACTGTGAGGATGCAGTGATGCCGTATCAGAAGGGGATGAAATGGATCCCAATGAATGGGTACTTCCACTGACAATCACTGGCATAGACTGAGGGTCTTCTGATTTCACAGTCTGAATATTTAATGGGAGAAACAGAGAGAGAAGGACAAACAATGCATAATTTTACTAAAATTAAATAATCAGCATAGGCTGTCAAGCCCCAGCAAATACCAAAAGAGCTATAGTCACAAAACAATATTATGGCTTAAGACAATATGGAATGCAAATCTCTGGTCACATGGACCCCTTTTATGGTGTTTTACAGTGTTGTCTACTAGTCTTTTTTGGAGCATGACACTATGCTTGGCTAAGATTTTGAGAAGCATTCTGTCTGTCAGAGAGAGAACAGTAGCTGTAGTGGGCCTTTGAAGATAATCTACAATGCGCTGGCATGCCTGGTCTTCAATCAGCCAAAGGCCCTGTCCCAAATGGCACCCTAAACCCTCGCGGTCTTCCTCTGAGTCCGCACTTTAGTGAAGTAATGCCGCTTTGACTGTCGGGTAGAAGTCTGTGGTGGAGCCCAGTGCGGGCTCGGCAGAAGTGCGGATCGACGGCGCATAACGACCGCAAAGGGGGCGCTCGCGAGCACCCTTCTGAACACTAAAAATGACAAATGGGACACCCTACGGTCTTGTGGACTTAACGGACACATGCACGCGGTGGCCATTGTAAGTCCGTAAGACCGCAAGTGCACATGAAGTGTTCCATTTGGGACAGGGCCAAAGACGACTCCTGATCTCAGTCCACTAGCTCCCAGCTGTGACCAGAATCAAATTTAAGGCTTTGATGCTGGCTTTCAGGCCTGCCACTTGAACTGCACCTCCCTGCATCAATCCACACATACAAGTGTATACCTTGTCGTTTCTTCACAATAGCCAGGTTTCCATCCTAAGTTGCGAATTTAACTTGTGCGCAAAATTGGAATAATCACATAAAACTTTTGTGAATAAGCACCGTTTCCATCCAACGAGTCAGAGAACAAAATCGCCACTTCCTGATAAACTGGCACTAAATACCACTAAGAAAAGTAGGAGAAGCCACTTAGGATAACAATTCTCAAATATAATAAATTACTTGCACTTCAAGAGAGCAGATGAAACATTAAATAAGGTCTTGCTTTTCGGAGGTGAATGTCAGCTGTTTGGGAACGCAGTCATGGTAGACCATTCTGGGAGGCAATTATACAGAAATACTTTGATGACAGACTTTGCTCGGGCACTTCAGAATGACCATAACATTTCAGATGCTGTTCAACAAAATCAGTCCGCTGGTTAGTCAGGTTATGCCGTCCCATAGCACAAAGTCACATGACTTTTTTGAACACTCATGCAGGATTTATTCGCAAAATGCATTTCCATTGCCCATTATTCGCATTCACCCTTTTTCGCACATGTCAAAAACCACCTCAAACGAGCATAACTTTTTTGCGAATTAAGATTTCTTTTCAAAATTTGGCATTTCCCGCACTCATTTCTGATGTGATACTTCAAAACGCGCATAAAAAGAGTGTGATGGAAACATAGCTAACGAGGCACAAAGATGCTTTCACAAACCTTCACCCTCCTTGCTCTTCTTTGGTGGAATGAGCGGTCGACCTCCACCCAAACTGCTGAGACCAGGGGTGGCCAGCTTTGGTCCCCCACAGTCCTGCAATGTTTTGCTCCAACTCTAATCAAACACACCTGAACAAGCTAACCGGGGTCAAAGGCTTACAAAGGCTGTGAACTTCCACTTAGCATTTAGACACACACTCGCGAACTTCCCCAAGTACTTCCCCTCTGGGGAATCCCCAACACCTTTTTGATAATTTTTCAGTTTCATGAAGTGGACGAGGGAAGGTTATATGGACAGGCCCTTGACCCCTCAGTTTTGACCGAGGGAGCTAGTCTACTTCACTTGTACATTTCAGGCAGCTCCGTAGACAACAATGCAACATGATTGTGACATCACTGCACATCATGTTTGACGTGTTTGAGGTTGGGATACTCACAATGGGGCTGCGACTCCGGGGCTGCATGTACTGGCTCAGGGCTCCTCTGCATTTCTCCACCACATGCTCCATCTGCAGGTAGCTGGCTGCAGTCAGGTAGTTCACGATCTCTTTGGCACTGAACTGCAGCATCCCTGTGTAACAGGACTGGAGGAGCTCACATACCACCGCTGAGCTGTGCAACATCGACACCTGCTGGATAGACAAAGTATTTGTTGACAATCAAAGCAACAAATGATTTTCAAAATTAAAGTTGCAGTGAAATGGAAGTAGCAACAGATCTTCCTTGTTGTGCAGAACGGATTATTGAAGCAGAAAAAAAAAAAAAAAAAAGTAGGGTGGGGCCTTGGGTTTATACATTGATTGGATGGAGGCAGATCTAAATATGAGCTTTCAATCGACAATACTTTATTTAACCTTTTCTGATAAGCGTGTGCGCTGCAAATGCAAGCATTTTTGATCATTTCTGTCCAGTCGCTCGTTTTATCGTGTTTAACCACAGCTGTCGTCAGTTTTTTGTCTGGCAGTGGCAGCAGGTATACAATACATTTTCAAATTGGAGCCTGTATTGTGTCGATTCTGGCTCCCAACAAAACAAGATGATTTGAAGATTTTAAGCTCCTTATGTAGCCGAATCTGTGCTGGTTTGAATTGGCTGTCTCCAGTTTTCGCTTTGTTTTGCCTTTCTGGACATTTTATATTCAGAAATGAGTGTCCTTGAATGGACCAGTGGAGGGAAAGAATAGAATTCCAGACTTGCTTGGAATGCGCAACTACATTGTACAAATAAGATTTCGGCTTTCTTAATTTATGCATAAAGTCTAGTTTATGAACCACTAGTTTATTATTTTCACAGATTATAGGAGGTGATAATCTGAAAATCACTGACACAAATAATGACAAATGTGAAGTTTAATGTTCGATCTTCAGGGTGTTTGTGACACTATTTTATTATATTTCATCCACTAATACCGACCAATGTAACACTAACGACACCGAAGATCAAATGGTTTGCTTCTGATGCTGCTGTAACTTAGTCATTCTGATGGCACGAGAAGTCCTCACCTGTAGCTCTGATGAGGGGTTCAGGAGAAACTGGTCCCTGAGAAACGCAGAGCAAGCAGCCAGAACGACCTTGTGACCCCTGAACATGCGCCTGCCTCCCGCCACAATGGTCACATCACAGAAGTGCTGCTGTGTCCGCAGGAAGTTCATGTTACTCAGGGCGGTGTCTCCATGCCCAGGCAAACGGAAACTCACCACATCCATGTTTTTACTACAGCTAAAACGGAGAAAAATAAAAATTTGATATATTAAAAAAAACTAAAACTGATATCTACACTTAAAAACATAATGGAGTTTGTTATTCTTCAGAATTTAAAGGATTTCTGAACAGTAAAAAGCTTTCTGAATGTTTCAGTTAATTTTATGTATGGAAAATGACATTAACATAAAAGCACAGAAACAATATGTCCATGAATATTCTCATAACGCCATAAATAAATTCACATTTAGAAGAAATAAGAGACACAACTGTGCATTATACGAGCTCTGGATGATCATTGTCATGGCATGTTTACATCAGTGTTAGGCTAAAGTAACGTTAGCTCACACTGTAGCGTCTTTTGTTTCAGACAGACTGTTTAACAAACTGCCCTCAATACAATACAAACACTTCACTGATCCGATAAACATGAACTTACTTGAGTGATTTAGTGAGGGGAGGGAAAAAAAAAAATAAAAAAAAAAAAAAAAAAAAAAAAAAAAAAAACACACGAACTTATCACATTTATGTCTAGAGATCAACCCAGCTCCACATCACTGCACGAGCGAAAACAGCAAACTAAAACACTCGCACTGATCTCGTTCACAGGAGTCTGTTGTCTTTATGTGTCTGAGCTCGGTCATTCCTACTATATATTTTCTGCTGTGCTCCGTGTGTTTTACAACAATTACAGCTAAAATTCGTAGAATGAAATGAAGTAAGAAAAGTTATCAGGAAATGTCGAGTCCGAAAGATGATTTTCAAAATAAAAGTCCCGTCTAGACAACATCTACAGTTCGCAAGAGCCAATCTCCTTTGTTTACTCTACAACGCGCTTGCGTATTAGCGAAACAGTTTCTTGTTAAACGCGGTTATTTAACAAAAAAATAAATTAAATGTTGCGGACTGATGCTTCTACAAAAGCAAAAATATACCATCGATAAAAGAGTAGTCCGCATTAGGTTTCCTTTAAAATCAGTAAAGGAGAAAATGACTGTTCGTGTGTATTTAATTCCTTAGTTTGATCATTTATAGATTGTCATTCTACATTTATATAGTCTGTGAGTTTAAAAGTCTTTAGAGTGTCAAAAAGCCTTTAATTTTTTTTTTTTGCTTACATAATTTATATCCAGCAGATAACCACGTGGAGGCGCTATGAATTCAGGATGGACCTCCGATAAAATAAATAATTTGCAAACGGATGCAGAGACATGAAAAAAATTAAGGGGAACATAACATGAAAAAGATGAGACATATGCCGAAGCCCCAACTCAAGTAGGCCTATTGACTCTTGCATTCGTTGTAACATACATTTCCTAGTGCTTTGGTGGTCGACAATCATTTAAATAGAGATCAAATCTGAACCTCAAAATAATGTTAATCTAATACACTTACTTTGTTGTATGCCCTCATGATGGCCTGGAATCTCACAACATGTTAATATAATAGTGAATATCATTGATTACATTTATGTTATTACATGGCACAACACTGTTTGATTTAAGACTAGATATACACTGATCAGCCACAACATTAAAACCACCTGCCTAATATTGTGTAGGTTCTTCTCGTGCAGCCAAAACAGCTCTGATGCATTGAAGCATGGACTCCACAAGAGCTCTGAACATGTCCTGTGGTCTCTGGCACCAAGACATTAGCAGAATATCCTACAAGTTATGAGGTGGGATTGGATTTGTGAGTCCAGCACTTCCTATAGATGCTCAATCGAATCAAGATCTGGGAAATTTGGAGGCTGAATTCCTGAATGATTTTTGCAGTGTGGCAGGTACAGCATCCACTGCCGTCAGGGAACAAACACCATTGCCATGATGAAGAGATCTATGTGGTCTGCAGCGATCATTAGGTAGGTCTACGTGTCAAAGTAACATCCACATGAATACAGCAGGACCCAAGGTTTCCCAGCAGAACATTGCACACACATCCGCTGGCCTGCCTTCTTCCCATAGTGCATCCTGCTGCAAGCATTTCCTGTGTAAACAACACACATGCACCTGGCCATCCACCTGATCTAAAAGAAAACGTGATTTATCAGACCAGGTAACCTTCTTTCATTTCTCCAAGGTCCAGCTCTGACACTCACATACCCATTGTAGCCACTTTCAGTGATGGACAGGGGTCAAGTTGTCCTTCTTTGCACCACTTTTGGTAGATACTAATCAAAATGGCAAGTCTTTGGGCGAAACATGCCATTTTAGAGATGCTCTGACAGGTGCTATTGTAATGATATAATCAATGTTATTCACTTCACCTGTCAGTGGTTGTGGCTGATCAGCGTAAACCACAGAACCATTTAAACCAACTCTGCTCTAATTTTGTCCGTTTGTGTTTCTGCCCTGTTAATAGCCTTTGCTTCAGTAAGAAGCGGGACAAGTTGCATTTTATTGGTAGAATTTATTAAACATGATTTCGTCAAGAAACCATCAGTTACAGTGGTTGAAATGTATTTTAAAATGTATTAAATGACACCTCAATGATCAAAACCAAACAATACCTAGATTATGAGCAATAGTCTCAATGTGGTTTTCATCAGAATGGTGGAGGTTCGAGATAAGATAAGGACTGATAGACTACTAAAGACAAGTGATGTTTCACAAACTATTCCCTTGAAATCATGGGCGAGTACTGAATACTTCTGAATGAACAGTAATCAGAAATGCAACTAATGTTGAGGCATATAGTCTCTTAATCAAACAAGACGAGAGAGAGAAGGTTAAACGGGATTTAAAACACTGTCAGGATCAAGTCCAAAAACACAATAATATTGATAATATGTCATTTAACACACTTAAACCCGAGTGCACCCTGGAAATACAACAATGAGGTTCATAATCTAGGGTAATGGAAGCCATTTTCATCCAGCCCTGTGATGGAAGAATGTGATCAGTAACATCACTTTGATTGAACAATAACTCAACCAGAAAGTGCTAAAGCTATGTTGTTGTAAACTACACTGTACAGTACATGATTACAATGACACACTCATATATATATATATATATATAGTGCTACATCTATGTGGTTGTAAACTACACTGTACAGTAAATGATTACAATGACACACTCATATATATATCTATAAATTCTCTTAATTTCTTTCCAATGTACAGTTTACACATCAGATTTATACAGGTAAACATCAAACATACAGGATTTAATTATCAGTCTTCTGTTTCAATCCAGCCATTTTAATTGCAAGTTGTACTGCATATTCTCTTGATCTTTGCACACAATGAAAATCAATAAAATACGGCCCATATGAATTTGATGAAACTCTCAATTGCAATCTCCCGTTGAGATGGGTCCAATATGACTGTGTTACTGCAGCTTGCATTATCATTTGCAGATGACTACAAAACACGCATATAAAGGCATCAAAATCTACATTCTTTGTCAACATTAAACCAAACCGAGGAGCATTCAGTTCTAAAGGTAGTAATGAGTTCAAAAGGAAGACCTAAAAGTAATTCATTTTTCAGTGTCCACTCCCAATCCCAAAAACACCTTGCTAAATGTGTCGAAATGAAAAGAAATTAGTGGGTTAAAGGTGAAATGCACCATCATGCAAGTGAACATCAATAAAACTGACATTTTTTCTGCTATATGACGTCCTTGAAAGCCACTTGTCTAAATAATTTAGTTAAAAGCGAATGCCTTCTGAATTGTCAGTATAGTTTAAGGGAATTCAATTAAAAGTGTGAGTCAATTTGACAGATATTCTGATAGAAGCCTATTTCCGTCTAATGAACTGCCACTGAATTGGTAACGTTGAAGAGAAGTGCAGTCGAAGAGCCATTAAAGAGCGACTTTATGCGTGCCATATCTGTTAGTGTTCATTGGTCCTCGAAGAGACATAAAGTTGTTACACAGGAAAAGTGCTGTTCATATTTTTCTGTAAACTCATAAAGAAACAGTGCTTAATACCTCTCTCTCCCCCAGTGTGTCCCACAGCTCTCTAATTTGATCATTTGTGAGAGACACAACCCCATAAATATGCTGGCAGAACAAAAGGAAACCACATTAAAACCCAAACTGCCACTGCAAAGAACAACTGAAAATAAAACCGAGGCATAAGGCTGATTTCAGCACAGATTTGAGGACAGAAATGGAAATAACCAAGGGCTGAGCCACCGATGCATCATGTAATGTTCCCTTGTGTAACAATCTAATTACAACAGACCTTCATTGATCTGTCAACCCATAGACTGGGCCAAGGCCACACGCCTGGTGTCCAGTTTCATAAAGCAGAAGCTCTAGAGCCAAAACAATAACTCTAATTTCACAACGGGTCAATTTAGATCGATCGCCAAACAGTAACAACACAGCAGAGTTAAAGTAAGACACAATGTCCACAATGCACGTAACAGGCTGGGGATGTTGTGCAACCCATGTGCAATTCTATGATGCAAGTATTATTGTTAAGGAAATTTTGTGAAATTTGGACACCATGTCCCATGATTCAAAGGAAATTTGTAGTAACTGATGTGAAATGATATGGTAATATGCTCCATCTATGGGAGCAGAAAACAGGGATGCTTGCTTTGCTTAAGTTTAAGGACAGTGTGGAGAGCAGGTCAGTATTGGAGGAAAATAAAGAGGAAACAGAGAGAACAGAAGGAAGGAGGTCTTGATATTCAATCCATCTTCTCTTTTTGGACCAGTTTCGGTGCGTCAACAAACTCCCGTCCGTTGACCAGGATGACAGCAGCTGTAAGAGCACTGGCTATTCCCCAGAACAACACGTATGCCAGGGTCTCCGTCCAAGTGTCACCTGACAGAGTACCAGATGTCATTATTCACAAACTAAATAGGCACTACTACTGTATGTACATTTTCCAAAGAAGCAACAGTAATGGAACCGTATAAGGATTAAAATCATTGTAACGCACATCTCTTGTGGGTCAATGACATATCTAATCTAGTTTAAAACATGTCAAGTTCTTAAAAATTTATTTTTTGTTGGTTCCATTTAAATGTAATGACTCATGCATATTAAACCATGTGGTGTAATATTATTAAAAGTAACATTTTCTTTACATTCTACACATGTGAATGTACTTAATTATTACAAAAAATATTTTAAAGATATATACAGTATATATTAAATTTTTTTCAACAAATCTTATTTATTAATACATAAATATCAAGTTTTTAGGGAGTTGCACCACATGACATTTGACGATCTGAACTAACCTTGCATAAAAAAAAAAAAGTAATATTTTGAGAGACTTCTTGACCTTGACATGATATCATTATATCTTCCTTTTTTGTTTTTTATTCATGCATGTTTTTACATGTTGTTTGCACCCCATGACTTTCTTAGTCGCACCACATGACTTTGATTATACTAGTGTTTCAAATATTAATAAGCGGTTTCGTTAAAAATATATATTGCAAATAATACAAAAACATTTTAAGTTCTTATTTATGATATCAGGACATTTGCATCAAAGTGAAATATAATTCTGACATTAAAAACATTGTTTTTAAGTCACTGCATGTAGGAATTCCATTTTTTATTAAATAAATAAATAGATATTAGTCAGGGTAGCACCATATTTAATTCTTGTCAGGAGAAGTACAGTGCGTTCAATGGGTTGTACTTTAACAACATAAAGATTGTTCAGCTGATGAAACGTCTTTCCATAAAAAACTCCATGAAACAGTTTTGAAAGTTGTGAGTTGTGAAAATAAAGTGATCTAGAACC